GGTTCAAAATATTATGGCCATAGTATTTTGACTCCCTTAAAGACATTCACAATTAAAAGATTAGGGGTTCAAAATATCATAGCATTGAAATGTTATACCTTCTATTATTTTTGCTTTCTGATAGGTTGGGGTGGGGGATCTATTCTGAAGGGTTGATACTAAGCAGACATTCCAAATAACTACTCATTTGAATCATGGCTTCAATCTTGTGACTTGTTTGATTCATGGCTTTTATCTTGTGACTTTTGACAATGGGGGTCATCTACTCATGTTCAGAATAGTTTGACACTTGACCTTGTGTCCAGAGTAGTTTGACACTAAAGATGTTGTGACCTCAGAATCAATAGGGGTCATCTACTTTTTAGGGGGTACCATTTGATATACCAAAATGATGTCTTTCAAGCCAAGGGTTCTCAAGATATTGAGAGGACACACTTGGACTGCTAACAAAGATGTCCAGAGTAATTTGTCCCTTTACCTTCTGATCTCAATATCAATAGGGGCCATCTACTTATCAGTCTACGTATCAGTTGATGTCTGTTAAGTAAAGGGTTCTCAAGATACTCAGCAGACAACAAGAAATTGAGAGGACAATGTCTTCTTATGTCCAGTGTAGTTTGACCCTTGACCTTGTGACTTTGATATCTATATGGGTCATCTACTGCTAAGAGTGTTACTGTGTTATCGTAACTATTAACATAAATGGACTAAAATATTTCAACTTTGCAAGCTATTTCAATGTAAATCTTAACATTTTCCTATGTGAGTAACTTTGTAAAATCTGTCCACTTGTAGTCAGCCGACCAAATCGTGGACATTTAAACCATAAATGTTTTGTACATGATTCCTGCAGATCGCCTGCCAAATACACAATAAATGTTTTGTACAAGATTCCTGTAGTCATCACACGCCAAATACACCCATCTTCTTTGATGAACTGAGGTAATTTTGATACAATGCTCCCATTTTTCACCTTCTTGTGACCTCCCTGTACACTCAATGCTGGTTTTAAAACAAGCATCATTTATTAAAGTTATCAACTGCAAATTATCACAATTTCAACTGCATTTTGATTTTTTTTCATACAAAGGGAGAAATTCTGCTGTTACTGTACCTTGTCCTTTTTAGCTCACCTGAGCCGAAGGCTCAAGTGAGCTTATCTGATCACATTTTGTCCGTCGTCCGTCCATCCGTCTGTCTGTCTGTCCGTCCGTCTGTAAACTTTTCACATTTTTGACTTCTTCTCCAGAACCACTGAACCAATTTCAACCAAACTTGCCACAAAGCATCCTTGGGTAAAGGGGATTTAAGTTTGTTCAAATGAAGGGCCACCCCCTTTTTCAAGGGGAGATAATTAAGAATTAGTGAAAATTTGGTGGTATCTTTTAAAAATCTTCTTCTCAAGAACCACAGGGCTGTAAAAGTTGAAACTTATGTGACACCTTCATTACATAGTGTAGATTCAAATTTGTTCAAATCATGACCCCCTTGGGGTAGGGTGGGGCCACAGTGGGAGATCAAAGTTTTACATAGGAATATATAGGAATAAATCTTTAAAAATCTTCTCCTCAAGAACAACTAAGCCACAATCAGTCATATTGATATGGAATCATCCTCAGGTAGTGTAGATTCAAGTTTGTTCAAATCATGACCCCCAGAGGTAGGGTGGGGCCACAATGGGGGATCAAAGTTTTACATAGGAATATATAGAAAAAAAATCTTTAAAAATCTTCTCAAGAACAACAAAGCCACAATTAGTCATATTGATATGGAATCATCCTCAGGTAGTGCAGATTCAAGTTTGTATCAAATCATGACCCCTGGGGACAGGGTGGGGCCACAATGGGCGATCAAAGCTTTACATAGGAATATACAGAAAAAAAAACTTGAAAAATCTTCTTCTCAAGAACAGCAAAGCCTTGTTTAGTCATATTGATATGGAAGCATTCTCAGACAGTTTAGATTTAACTTTGTTCGAATCATGACCCCCAGGGGTAGGGTGGGGCCACAATGGGGGTTCAATGTTTTACATAGGAATATATAGAAAAAAATCTTGAAAAATCTTCTTCTCAAGAACAGCAAAGCCTTGTTTAGTCATATTGATATGGAAGCATTTTCAGATAGTGTAGATTTAACTTTGTTAGAATCATGACCCCCAGGGTTAGGGTGGGGCCACAATGGGGGATCAATGTTTTACATAGGAATATAATTAGGAAAAAACTTAAATCTTCTTCTCAAGAACAGCAAAGTCATGTTTTGTCATATTGATATGGAAGCATCCTCAGGTAGAGTAGATTCAAGTTTGTTCAAATCATGACCCCCAGGGGTAGGAAGGGGCCACAATGGGGGATCATAGTTTTACATAGGAATATATAGCGGAAAAATCTTGAAAAATCTTCTTCTCAGGAACAGCAAAGCCATGTTTTGTCATATTGATATGAAATCATCCCCAGGTAGTGCAGATTCAAGTTTGTTCAATCATGACCCCCAGGGGTAGGGTGGGGCCACAATGGGGAATCAAAGTTTTACATAGGAATACATAGAAAAAAAATTTTGAAAAATCCTCTTCTCAAGAATAACAAAGCCACAATTAGTCATATTGATATAGAATCATCCTCAGGTAGTGCAGATTCAAGTTTGTTCAAATCTTGACCCCCAGGGGCCACAATGGGGGATCAGAGAAATATATAGAAAAAAATCTTGAAAAATCTTCTTCTCAAGCACAACAAAGTCACAATTAGTCATATTGATGTGGATTTATCCTCAGGTAGTGCAGATTCAAGTTTGTATCAAAACATGACCCCTGGGGATAGGGTGGGGCCACAATGGGCGATCAAAGTTTTACATAGGAATATACAGAAAAAAAAATTTGAAAAATCTTCTTCTCAAGAACAGCAAAGCCTTGTTTAGTCATATTGATATGGAAGCATTCTCAGATAGTGTAGATTTAACTTTGTTAGAATCATGACCCCCAGGGGTAGGGTGGGGCCACAATGGGCAATCAAAGTTTTACATAGGAATATACAGAAAAAAAACTTGAAAAATCTTCTTCTCAAGAACAGCAAAGCCTTGTTTAGTCATATTGATATGGAAGCATTCTCAGATAGTATAGATTTAACTTTGTTAGAATCATGACCCCCAGGGGTAGGGTGGGGCCACAATGGGGGATCAACGTTTTACATAGGAATATATAGGAAAAAACTTGAAAAATCTTCTTCTCAAGAACAGCAAAGTCATGTTTTGTCATATTGATATGGAAGCATCCTCAGGTAGAGTAGATTCAAGTTTGTTCAAATCATGACCCCCAGGGTAGGAAGGGGCCACAATGGGGGATCATAGTTTTACATAGGAATATATAGTGGAAAAATCTTCTTCTCAGGAACAGCAAAGCCATGTTTTGTCATATTGATATGGAAGCATCTTCAGGTAGTGTAGATTCAAGTTTGTTCAAATCATAACCCCCAGGGGTAGGGTGGGGCCACAATGTGGGATCAAATTTTTACATAGGAATATATAAGAAAAAATCTTTTCAACATCAGAAAAGCCATGTTTAGTCATATTGATATGGAAGCATCCTCAGGTAGTGTAGATTCAAGTTTGTTCAAATGATGGGGGGGGGGGGGGGGTAGGGAGGGTCCACAATTGGGGATCAAATTGATCAAATTTTTAACAAGGGAATATATAGGAAAAATCTTTAAAAATCTTCTGCTCAAGAACAGCAAAGCCATTTGTGATATTGATATGGAAGCATCCTCAGGTAGTTCAAAATCCAAGCCCCCCCCCCCCTTTAAACTTTTCAATACTGAAGTGATTTATGCTTTTTCCTAGCCAATGTGCTCAGGTGAGCGATGTGGCCCATGGGCCTCTTGTTTCCTATATATTCCACTGTAACACTTTGATCCCTCTTTCAGACCCCAACCTTGTGATCATATGTAAGGAATCTTTAACATGTTTTGGCTTTTCTGGTTCATAACTTTTGAAGAAGGAAATGTTTAAAAGTCATATTACCCCTTTTTTTGGTATATTTTATCCACCTTCTTACCCTTTATAATCTTTTCTACAGACCAATAAATTCACTTGTTTTGAATTTTCTTTCTTCCGACAGCCATGTTGACTTACTGACTGACGATATCTCACGGAAGATGTCTGTAGATAGGACTATAAAGGGTTAGGAGGTGGATAAAATATACAGGTTGGTAATAGAATATGTCTAGAATTAAGGAATGAAAGGTAGTTGATTGACCTATGCTGGAAAGTGTATAAATACATCTCCAACCGTGCGCAGAAAATCTTGCAATTGCACTTTATTTGCATTACAGGATCTGCAGCGTTATGGTCGAAGATTAAAACGTAAAACCATAATGCTACAGTTCTGCAGCTACCTTCTGTACAAATGGGACTAATTGTGGCTTTTCTGTTTCTGGGAAGGTTTTACCAAAGTAAATATCTAATATAAAACTTTGATCATCCATTACAACCCCCCCCCCCATTTAACCAGTAGCTATGACTAATCATGTATTTGCTGTTCTTCAAAAGATGTATTTAAAAAGATTTTTCCTATATCTTCCTATGTAAAACGTTGATCCTCTACTGTGGCCCACCCTTCACCCAGGGTCATGATTTGAACAAACTTGTATCTACACTATGTCAGGAAGCTTTCATATATGTTACAACTCATCTAGCCCAGTGGTTCTTGAGAAGATTCTTAAATAACCTCACCCTATTTTTGCCTTTTCTTGATTATCTCCCCTTGGAAGGGGGCATTGCCCTTCATTTAGACAAACTTGAATCCCTTTCACCCAAGGATACTTTGTGGCAAGTTTGATTGAAATTGACCAGCGGTTCTGAAGAAGTTGAAAATTTGTAAAAGTTTATACAAGCTGCATGCTGACAAAAACATATAGTGAAATTGTTTAAGGATGGACAGCTGAGAATTGACTTTGATCACAAAAGTCTGCTTTAGCCTTTGGTTCATGCAAACTAAAAAACAAACACACAAAGAAAATACTGGTCATGTTGCCATCTTTATTTAGTTGTACATACATGTACCACATAACAAAAATGATAGTCATCATACATGTACATAGTAAGCAAGGTATTAGTGAAAAATGATCAATTGATTGTTTCAATAATGTCTGATACCTGGAAATTCTAAAGTCAATTACTAAATGAACAATGCTCAGCAACTGAGATAGTATTGTGAATTTCCCTGTTTTTTAATATATTGTATAAAATACTACTCCCAGTCTCCAGGGAATACAATATAATTTTAAATTTTCTTTGTTTTTTTTTTAATTCTTATTTATATTTTACTCTCACTCTCTTTTTTTAGGAAAGATACAGGAAATGTTGAAAGTTTAAAATATAAAAAATTGTGAACTGGAAGATAACTGGGAATGAATGAATCATGAGACCCCTGTTAATTATTCTTTTTACCAAAGAAATTAACACACAAGGTTCTTTACATGTTTACAACACCTGTTTGACTACAAAAAAGCTGATGAAGTTTATATAAACCACATAAACAGCACAATTAAGGATCATATAAAAAAATGTCTAAGTACAGAATGAGAAATCTTTAAGCACGAAGATCAATGAAATTACAATGATATGTACAAACGCCGAATGATCTACTGCACCACATCCATTTACACCAACACACACAACTACTAAATAAATTACTGTCAACAAATGATAATCTATAATAGCATTTTTTGGCAAACATTTTTTTTTAAACAGAATAAGCATATAGTTATTTTTTTTTCAAAATCAAATCAAATCATATGAATATTCAAGTTAAAACAATATTAAACTTTACACTTGGGAAATCTATACATGAATTTTACCAGAATGTTAATATACATGTTTTTTGAAAAAATATACAATGCACGTCCAATATAGTAAATTAAAACATAGTATTCAGCTTTTAAATCTGTCACTAAAATGCACTTTCATAATTACATTGTTCATACACAAGACTTTATTACTTAAAATATATATATACTGAATTTGCAAATCTTTATAATCTTGCTAAACTAACATGATAAAATATAGCACCCTCTCACTTCAAAAGTTCTGGAAATTAACTTGGTATTTTGATATCATGAAGATTGCACACAAACGTTTTGTACTGGGCTGCATATTTTTTGCTCCAGCTACACAACTATAGTGATTGCAAAGAAAAAAATTGAAAAGAATTCAGGTGACTTATTATGCATGCTGGAAAAAAAAATATACAAGATAAGTGTGGTCACCTTAAAGAGAATGAATTATGGATGAAAATAGAAAGCTGCAAGTAAGCAACTAAATAATGTTGTTGAACAACAAAAACATTGTTTACAAGGAGATAAGTAACACATCAATACTTGATGTGAAATAAATAGTCTAGCAATATTTAAAACATTGAAATATCTATGAACCAGCACAGAATTGGAAACATATGAAATATATTTACAACCAATACTGGGGTCAAAGTATTCTGTCCTGCCAAATACTAGCATGCAAAAATATATACAACTTCTGCATTCAACTTGACTACATTTACAACCGCAATATATTGGCTTGCTTTGGAATTGAGTGACTGGCATTACTGGCTCTCATTGCAAACAGGACGTGGATGAAAATAGTGAATATTCTTGAATAATCAAAAGGTCCCTAATTTGTTCTTCTTTACATTGTCTCTTCAAAAGCAGCCATCATTTCACTTTGTGCATTCATATCTATTTTGTGTGCCATCTGCAAAATATACGTATGATACGTTTAATTCTTATAATGTGAAAAATAATCACAAAACAAGATATGTTTGTGAAACACTATGCCCCCGTATGGCAGCTTATGTCCAAGGTTAAAGTTTCTCAAATGCAAGTCAAAATCCAGGCCAAAAGATAAAAAATGTTGATACCCAAAGAAAGATCTTGTCTCGAGGAAAACACCTGTAGAATTTGAAAGACCTAAATACAACTGTTCAAAAGTTATGGTGAAGGTTAAAGTTTTTTAAATAAAAGTCAAACGTCAAGGTCAAGGACAAAGTGGTTGGTATCCAAAGGAAGATCTCGTCACAAGGATTACATATGTGAAGTATGAAAGCCCTAGCACCAACCATTCAAAAGTTATGGCCAAGGTTAAAGTTTTTCAAAAGTAGGTCAAACTCCTAGGTCAAGGTCAAAGGGTCAAAGTGGTTGGTATCCAAAGGAAGGTCTTGTCACAAGGATTACATTTGTGAAGTATGAAAGCCCTAGCATCAACCATTCAGAAGTTATGGCCAAGGTTAAGGTTTTTCAAAAGTAGGTCAAACTCCTAGGTCAAGGTCAAAAGGGTCAAAGTGGTTGATATCCAGGGGAAGGTCTTGTCACAAGGAATACACATGTGAAGTATGAAACCCTAAGCACCAACTGTTCAAAAGTTATGGCCAAGGTTAAAGTTTTTCAAAAGTAGGTCAAAGTCCAAGGTCAAGGTCAAAAGGTCAAAGTGGTTGGTATCCAAAAGAAGGCCTTGTCACAAAGAATACACATGTGAAGTTTGAAACCCCAAGTTCCAACTGTTCAGAAGTTATGGCCAAGGTTAAAGTCTCATAAAATTTTGCAAAAGTGGGTCAAACTCCAAGGTCAAGGTCAAAAGGTCAAATATGATGGTACCCAAAGAAAGGTCTTGTCACAAGGAATACACATGTGAAATATGAAAGTCATAGCTCCAACCAATCAAAAGTTATGGGCAAGGTTAAAGTTGACAACAGACAGACAGACAAACAGACAAACGGACAAACAGACAAACAGACAGACAGGACAAAAACAATATACCCCCGGGATCTTTCGATCCGGGGGCATAAAAATTAAAAGAATATCTAGTTGTCCTATGAACCATTTACTAAAGTATACATTTTGCCAATTTACTTTGTATATACAGTAACTGTTGAAATTTCAATACTCATAGAAATAACATTTATACATACAGCTTCTCGCTTGCGTCTTTCCTGCTCCTTCTTTCTTTCCCTCTCTTTTGCAGCTGCCAATTTCTCTGCTTCTAATTGCTGTTTTCTCCGTTCTTGCTCTTGTTGAGCTCTTCTTGCCATTTCTAAAGCTTCCTCTTCTTCTCGTTCCCTAAAACATGAAAAGAAAATAATCTTATGAATTGGCAAGTCATGTATCAAATTAAAGCAACTACAGCATCTTTTCTGAAGATCTTTAAGTACATGTATATCAACTTCTAAAATATTGCTCATGGTAACTGCCCAATACTGTTGCTCAACATTGTAAACAACCAATCATAGTATTAATAGATATAGCAGATAGCTACATGTATTATCATAGATATAAGATTAAACCTAACCTGAATTTTTCTCTTTCTTCTCTTTGCCTTTCTCTTTCCATGGTTTCTTTATAAATCTTTCTTTGTTCCTCTTGGATTTTAAAAGCCTTTTCCTGATTACAAGTTGAGTTTTTAAGAATTAAAAAAAAAAAAACATCTATCTTATATTATTGTTTATTATACTTATTATATAATTATTATATGCAATATATTATTATGTAACTGCTTATACTAAATTCCTTATACCCTTTCTTCTTTCTCTTTGGCTTGCTTTCGGTAGAGTTCAAATGTCTGCATAGCATTCGATTTCTTTACAGAACTTGATCCACCACCAGCAGCTAGACTTGACCAGGAGGCTGCATTTTTCATCTTCACACCATCCTGCTGTAACAATGAAATTAAATTTTTAGTACCACTCCTTTCATCTAAATTACCAATATATCCTTTCCACCTTTGTTTGCTGGCAAATAAAACATCCAAAAGGAAATAAAACTGTACATTACATTATCACTTATTCTACTGCATTTATAGCTGCAGATCTGTAGCTCGCTGGTCTGAAAAAATTGAAATGGACAACCAGAGAGCTACAGTGCCACCTATTGGAAAGTGTATATTTATTGCACACAAAAAAGGGCACCATTTCTTGATTTAAATTTTCCGTATATTTAATCTGCCTGCTCAAAATACTAACTGTGTTTTCCTGGCATATAACTTTACTATTTTCACAACAAAACATTCCCCATAACTGAAATATTACGTTTTGTAGTAGAAATAGACCATCCTGATGCAGAACGCGGATATGTATGAGACAGAATAACTGGAAAAAATTGGTTCCCAAAAAATATCTTCCGGAAGGTGCAGCATCTGTATTACTGGCCTCCGGATTAACGTGGCACCACTGTACATTTTTTTCAATGGATAGCACTGTAGCTTGCTGGTCTGTTAATTTTTTTTCCCCAAAGGGCTATGGTTCTGCAGCTACTATGGTAATTGCAAAGATCAAAGAAATGCCGCAACATTATTCTCCCATAAATCACAAATGTCATCAACAAATTACAGACAAACCTGTATTAAGTGACCTATCAAGGGAAATCCTAAAATGGTCACATATGACAGGTAGTCTCTTAAATCAAGGAATCATATTCTAGAAATGTTCTGAATTCTAATAAGTAATACATGTACTTGTTGTTAAGTTTACTTGTTTTCTGTCCTCTATCCTTCATTATAATTTTTGATTATTTTCATTCTTCTTGGTTAAATATATGAAAATGCAATAAATACTCGTTTGTACAAATTCTTTTTATTCCTAAACATGCTAAACATGAATTTATTTTCTAAAAAAAAAATTTGTTTTTATGTTTCACACTTTTACAACAGTGTTATGGATAAAGACTACTCTGGACAAAATTATGCATGAAAGGGAAAAACAAAACACTATGATAATCACCCCCCCAAAAATACAATTCCTATTTATGATAAACACACACAAATCTTGTACCATTTGTGCTGAAACCATTTCAAAGTTTATCTCTAGTTTCTTTTAAAATGTTTCTTATTATAATAAGTTTCTATTGAAACCAAGTCACTTACTGTGTAATATTCCATTTAATGAGTATATTTTTGCAAATACATTTGTATCTTTCTGCAAAGTGAGGACAAGGGGGAAAAAATTAGAATTCTTTTACTTTTATTATCAAGAGCAGGGATGAAAGTCACTTAAAGTCAGGGTCTTAAATTACTTTGGGATGAAAAAAAGGATAATCCTGTTAGAAAAGGAGTCGCTGAACTCAGGCAAAATATATTGGAAAAAATTAACATGAGGAAATTTAATGGTTGCATATGGCAGGCTATAAAGGTCGCTTTGAGAGGTTTAACTGCATCAGTAAAGAACAAGGTACGGTTTCAATACAAATCTTGCCCTGTGTTTTTCTTAAAAATAAAAGTGATGTAAAAAATTAAAACTCATGCTTTTTGAATTATTGAAATTCCATGCAGAAAGATCATACAAATCTTTTTTCTCACATGACCTTCCAAATGCTAATTGTGATGTCATAAACTTGTGCATTTTCCCGTATTTTCTTAAAAAGTTGCAGAAGACATCAATTTTCAATGGAATTTTCTTTCAGATAATATTGTCCACAGGCATCGCCCACAAAGATTTTGAGATATGTGATTTTTCAAAGAATTTTACACAACATATCTAAAAATTAACGTGGGCGACGGCTGTGGACACTATTTTCTTAAGGAAAATAACCCTTGAAATGGGTCATTTTGAGGCTTTTTCTGTTTAAAATAGAGAAATGCATCAAATTAATGACGTCATATATCAAGAATAGTACTCCATCATGCTATATTCTTTCCTGATTTATTACAGTCATATACTCAACTAATATTTAAGCCAGTTTCAAAACTTTTTGAAAACATTAAATTTTTAGGGCACAATAAAGCTAAAACCATACCTTCTTCTTTGAATCATTTTCCTCTAATTTTGACTGTTCTCACAAGGAAAATAGTCAAGACATCTTTTGATTGGAATGCAAATTGGTGGGAAAAAAGGTTTACTTGGAATTCAGATTACATTGCATTTTTCAATTACATGAAGTGCAAATGAATGAGGAGTTACATATATTTGAATTCATATGACACTTTTGTTGACGCTGAAATCTAGCTTTCTCTTGTTTCTTTGTATAAGTGTTTCAAAATTTGCCATAGCAGATTAGATATAATTCTGGCATTGGAGGAACTGTAGGAGAATATACCCCTCAGACTCGAGATTTTGTTGCAAAATTAAAAACTTTGACCTTCAGGATTGGTTTTTATTTTCCAACAAAATCTCTCCACATCTGGGTATATTCTCCAGCAATTCCTCAAATGCTGAAATAATTTCTTCAAGAAAAGTCTTGTTGAAATAAACCCAAGAGAACCTACCTTTTTGACTTGCTGGGTGAGACTTTTGCTTAGATCAGGTTTCTTGTGTACATCATTCATCTGATGCTGACCCATCTGACTTGGTCCTCCAACCCCAAATGACACACCAACCCCACTGGCAGCTGTTTGTTAAACAGAAAACTGACATTCAGATTTCAATCTTACATCTATAATCAACATCTACAGCACAAATATATAAAAACTTTTTATATAAATTTAACAACATTGCTTATAAAAAACATTTAAGTTCATCAAGACCCACTTAGCTATCAATATATACATGCAATATTTAACTTCTATACAAGACGTATCCAAAAACTTAACCAAAAGTTCCTCTTTAGGTTTGTACTTTAATGTTGGAAAAGAAAAGTTACACCTGGACCTGAAATATTTTTTTTTTCATTTACTTTCCATTTATAGAATGTTTTTTTTTTTTAAAAATTTGTTTTAAAAAAAAGTAGAAGGGGAAGCATTTTGAAAGACTTCCACAGATTATTCTCAGCTCCACAGACAGGACGACAGATACTCAGGGTTCAACACTAACTTTAAAATCATAGTAGCTTGAAAGGGCTAACATTTTTTAATCCCTACAAGCCCATCATAAATTACTTGACCAGTTGCTAGCAGAGTCACAAAGCGAAGAGGAGGGGAGTGTTTTTACATCAGAGTTTCCAACAATTAGGGGATAAAAATTATTGATAGGTCAAACCAAAACAATAACTATGTTGACAGTCCGACTCAGACGACTCAAATATTATTCCTTAACTCTCGCTAACAAAAATTGAAATTTGTTCTTCTTTTTATTGATCTTTACAATTTCTTCAAGTGAGTGTGTGGTACATGTATTTAAAATTCCAGTAGCCCTGCAGGACAAACTTGATGACTTTTTTAGTAGCCCGACCTTAATTTTCAGTTGTCTAGGGCTAGCTGGCTACCTTTAGTGTCGAACCCTGTACCTTACCAATGCATAAGCTCTTCTGATCTACAACCAGTAGAGCTGAAATCTGAAAATTAACTGCAATTTTCAGTGCAGTGCAACAGAAGACAGTGATAAATCAGTAAATCATAAAGGTTAGGGTGATGTGCATCACTCACAGACTGTGGCCCCAGGGGGAGCTGGGGGTGCAGATTTTGATGGACTTGTTTTGGGACTATTGCTAGAATCATCATCACTGATGAAGAACTTGGCTGCTCCCGGATCTTTCGGTCTATCCATGACAACAGGATTGGTTGGCAATGACATTCCCAGTGGAGGTGAAATTGGTCTGGCATCTGGATAATATTTCTGCTCCTGGGGTGAGAGTGTAGATATAGGGGGAGACACTGCCATTACTGCAGGCTTGTTGACTAAACTTGGAGGAGGATTTACAGCTGGAACTGTAATACAGAAATTAATAGATTGTATGTATTTTGAACATAAATCCATAGTTGATACATACCATCACTTGAATATTTTAAAAATCTTACTGGTAGATTTAGCAACCGGTTTTGCTGTTGCCACGGCAATAGGTCGACTAGGTTGTTGTGGAAGTGAATGAGTCATTGGACGTACTGTGGGAATATCTGCAACAGAAAACTAAGAAGTAGAGTATACATCTGCAATAAAATGTGTAATCAAACAGAAATAGAAACAATTTCCAATTACGATATTTACCCATTGCCGCCATATTGGGCTGAATGACAGATGTTGGCAGACTGTTGATGCTGGGAAGGACTGTACCAGTTGTCTGAGTGCTATGTAAAAGTGGAGGAGGTTGAGAGGTGAGTGGTGCAGTAGGCATCATTGGCTGACCCGAGTAAAGTGAAGCATTGTGAACAAGAGGTGGAGGGGACTGCAATTGTGGCTGTGGAGACACCATCACTGTGTTGCTACCTCCTATATGAATTTTCATGGGTGGTGACATAGCAAGGCTTCCTGGGGTTACCTGTAAACAATAATGATTTACACTCGTCTTGTGGTAAATCTGGGCTGTAGCACTCAAAAGTCTACATTGCATAACTGGGAATTCTATGACACATAAGAAATTTTACAAATAATATTCCATTGTGAAGGTAAACTTTGTGTGAAACAAAATAACCTTTTCATCTTGAATCATGAAGACTTCCCTATCCTTAATGTTTTTTGGTAACCTTAAATCAAGTTCCTAATAAGCTCAATTTTAATATCCACGAAGGAAATTTTTGGAGGAAGTATAAAAGACAGCTTTACTGATCTGGTATATTTCATGTGCATCTGCAACAAGTCAACTAGATCTGCAAATAGTAATCTTTTTCACTACCTTTGCTCCTTGTCCCTTATCTGGGGATTTGAGTTTTTGGTTTTTCTTTCCTTTTGTCTTTTTATCTGGTGATCCTGAAATAAAACTTCTAAATAAACACCACTAAATGTTCACAATATTCCACAAACTACATTGGATCTTGCCTATTAAATTATACATATCTACAGCAAACACCTCTTCATGATTGTTCTGTAGATTCCTTACTTTTCGCGAGTACTTATTATCACGAAATGGCCTTTAACTTCAAATCTTGAGAACAATAATTTGTGAGTGGATGGTTGATCAAGAGATTTAACATGGATTTCAGCACCATAAAAACAAAAGCAAGTAATTTTATTTCGCGAGTGGTGCTTCTTGCAAAATTATGCGAAAATTAATTCCTAAGGTATGTTTAGGAATCTACAGTATTTCTTTTGGCCTGGACAAAAAAAGCCAATGTTTGATCGAACTTCATCACTTTTAGCAAGGTTCTAGGAGTGAAACGGTTCACCGCGGTATCGATTCACCGCGGTATTTTTTCTCGGTTTGGTACACGGTGCAAAATCTCTAATTTTCGGTTCGGTTCATTTTTTGGTCGGGATCGTTATTCAGTCGGGTTTGGCAAAAGGTAAAACACATTAACATGATTAATCAGTATAAATAAGTATAGAAAACGTAAATTTTTGATGACTGATAGTTTGTAAAATAATTTTTGACAGTGAAATGATTTTAATGAATTTCTTCTAGTCAATTTGCAAATAAAATTCGTAAAATATGTGACTAGATTTAGAAAAAGAAAGCATAAAACAACGTTGAATTTGTTTCCTTCTATCAAAATGTATCGTATCGAAAATAACCGAACCGAGACAAAATTATACAATATGTATCGAACCGTGAACGAGGTGTATCGTTTCACCCCTACAAGGTTCTTACAGTTATCCCTGGCCATTCACTACAACCATATTTTATTGCAATACAAGTATCCTGACAAACTTCAGCACTGTAATACTTGTACATTACCTGAAAAGGATCTGTCAAAAGTAACCTCCATGTCTACACTTGTATGAACTAATGTAATGAAATAAATGCCTCTGAAAACCATCATTTCTTCATTCAAAGTTACATAGAAGAAGTATACAGGTATAAAAGGGTATGCGCCCTTTTGGTTGCACTGTCCGTAAGTTGAGACCTTGAAAGACTGACCACAGAAAGAATACCGTTGCAGGGAATTTATTTCACAGAGTTTGAGACAAAAATACAAGTTGATGTGACCGACCAAGAAAAAAACCAAGATTGCGACCATGTGTACCTTGTGAATTATTAGGTAGGGGGTATATATTTTTTTTTATTAAAAGAAAAACAAGTACTAACATCAAGTGCCTGTGACCAATCAGTGCAATCAAGTTTTTTTAACTAATACACTGCATGTTCACAAAATCCTTACAAATCTAGGCTAAAAAATCATCACAAAAACATGCTTTATGACCATAACTGGGTTTCACTGTATATACGAATTTAGTTAACTGGCAAAGCATGAATATTGTTTCTTCTCTTTAATTTCAAAACAAAACACATCAACCTAATTCATCTGACCTTCTGTTGCAATTTTTTTGTGCTAAATGATGTAACAGAAAATGAGAAAATGAACTATGATTCTAACAAAACTATATAGACAAGTACTCTTACATCTGGCTGATGGACAATCACACCTTTATCAGTTAAAAACATCATTTTTTCTTTGAATATAAGATCAAATGATTGATACAACTTTTAAGCAGAATCTTTCCATTGTGTGAAATGATGAATTGACCCTTTTATGAATTATTGCCTCTGAAAATTTTTGCCAATTACTTTTTAGAGAATTTTTAAAATGATTAATTATAAACTGCAATTGAGTCTTCAACCTTTGACCCTGGAAATGAACAAGGTCAAGGTCATTCAGAAGAAATTTTTTTGGTTTTTTTTTTTATTTCTTTCATCTTTCAACATATGTTATATATATCATAGCATCTTTAATGTCTTTTTAAAGCTAATTTTACACTCCTAACTCTAACCCCTTTAGCAGCGATCACCAATTACTCAAACAAGAGGCCAGTGGGCCACAACACTCACCAGAGTATCTTTAGCCTTGCTGTTCTTCACCAGATTTTCTCCCTTGTAATAAGTATTGTGCCCCACCCTACCCTGGGGGTCATGATTTGAACAATTTAGAATCTACACTACTCCAGGATGCTTCCACATAAGTTTCAGCTTTTCTGGCCCTGTGGTTCTTGAGAAGATTTTTACTATATATTTCAATGTAAAATTTGAATCCCTACTGTGGCCCCACCCTACCCCGGGGGTCAAGATTTGAACAATTTAGAATCTACACTACCACAGAATGCTTCCATATATGTTTCAGCTTTTCTGGCCCTGTGATTCTTGAGAAAAGGATTTTTAAAGATTTTTACTAAATATTTCAATGTAAAACTTTGATTCCCCATTGTGGCCTCCTCCCTACCCCCGGGGGTCATGATTTGAGTAATTAAGAACCTACACTACTCCAGGATGCTTCCATATAAGTTTCAGCTTTTCTGGCTCAATGGTTCTTAAAAGATTTTTAAAGATTTTTCCTATATATTTCAATGTAAAACTTTGATTCCCCATTGTGGCCCCACCCTACACCGGGGGTGGGGGGTGGGTCATGATTTGAACAATTTAGAATCTACACTATCCTACTATGCTTCCATATAAGTTTCAGCTTCTCTGGCCCAATGGTTCTTGAGAAGAAGATTTTTACCATATATTTCAATGTAAAACTTTGATTTCCTACTTTGGCCCCACTCTACCCCCAGGGGTCATGATTTGAACAATCTAGAAACTACCCTACCCCAAGATGCTTCCAAATAAGTTACAGCTTCTCTGGCCCAGTGGTTCTTGAGGAGAAGATTTCTAAAGATTTTTCCTATATGTTTCAATGTAAAACTTAAATTCCCCATTGTGGCCCCACCCTACCCTGGGGGGTCAAGATTTGAACAATTTAGAATCTACACTACAAACTCCCCTTCACCCAAGGATGCTTTGTACCAAGCTTTGTTAAAATTGGCCCAGTTGTTCCTGAGAAGAAGTTGAAAATGTGAAAAGTTTACAGACGCACAACGGACAATAGGTGATCAGAAAAGCACACTTGAGCTTTCAGCTCAGGTGAGCTAAAAATGGAGTCAAGGTCAAAATATGCTGATAAGTTGAATAGCTCTCATCAATATGTATCACCATATGAAGTTTGATAAAACCATCTTGAATAGTTTCTTTGAAACTTAGCTTTGAACTGAGCTAAACGCAAAGCGGAACAGAAGTACAGAAGAGGGACGGAAGACGGACATGACAAACTCTATCCATGGCCAGGCATAAAAAATTTTTCTTTTTTTTTCAGTCTCGAGTCGTTTTTAAGTTTCTTTAAAAATTTTTTTCTTTGTTCGTTTAAGAGTTGTACAGAAAAATTAAATTCATATAAAGTGGAATGACCTCTAAAGTTCTTGAACAATTAGTCTAGTTTTTCTGGGTTTCCTTAGAATTTCCTCAACCAAACAAAACCTGCAGGAGTTTTTTTTTTTTTTTGATAATCAAACATCCTCTGCTCTTGAACACTTGTATTCTGTAATCAACTACCATGCTCATTTCTGCTGTAACAAATTTTATGCAACATTATCCCTCTACAAGTCAGTTTTACTTCCATAGTTATTACTGTAATCACTGATTCAATGTATGTGATAAAAGACTAGAATCACATCACTTCTACATAAAATGCTCAATAATTCAACTGAAATACAAGAGAAAATGTCAATTTTTTTAAAGCATCCAACATCACAATCTCTTTTTTTCAAATCTGAAGACACCTTTACAGCCTAACAGAGTAGAAAAAAATTACTTTTTGAGATCCTTCAATTCACTTGCTGTAAAAACGCAACTTTCACCAAACTCACTGATACCCTTTCTATCCAAATAAATTATACACTGTATTGAATGAAAACTGCATTAACCAAGTCCTGCCTCTTAAAGGAACACTTTTCCCAGCCATTTTTTCTTCTAGCTCCGAGCACAAACGTGTATCAATATCCTCTTTTAATATTACATTCAATAGAATACTCGGTAAACATCACATCACATACTTAGACATTACTGATTCAGTTGCATTTTGTTTCCTTAATATCCCTGTATGAAATCTCTCAAATTCAGGATATGATATTCTTTGGCCATCATCTGGCAGACATTTTCAGTCTTTTTATCCTTTCTTCCATTAATTGGCTGTGTCTCTTTACCTGAACTCCTCTGCACTCAATACCTCTAGCACAACGCCTCTACATCTGCTCCACATTCAACCAATCACATAATCAATTTCAAAATTATATATCAAAGAAACAACGATTGCCAAACTAAAGCCTACTGAGTGCAGAATATGTTACGTAAAGAGGCACAGCTATGAAAAAAATATCAGTACATGAGTGTTTTCATACTTTATTGACAGTTTTAGAGATCTACATTGACATGTATGAGGTAAGCCAAATTCTTTGTATGTACAGAAATGGAAAAAAAATTGCCTCAGCTACTACAAAATAAAAAATACATACAAAACTGTTTACCAGCTATAATTCTCACATTATGTACAATTTTCTTGTAGAAAATGAATTAAAAAATGAGCACAGCACAAGTTATAAAATATTTCGTGACAATAAGTATATATTGATACATAATCTAATAAATCACTACAATTTGCTGTTGCTTTTGTAATCTTAATAAAAATCTTTCATGCAAAAAGTTTTGAATAAATTATGGAAAAGAATTTAAATATTACTTAAAACCTTGGAGTGCATTGTGTTTAGAGGCCAGCTCATTGTGTGGCATTTAATTTCAAACTAAATATTTAAATAATTTCTCTGGTTTAAAAGCAAATATGTCAACAAAGAAATGTTTTTCTTTTCAATTTCTCATTAGGTTGAAAGTTCCTTCAGTTATTGAGAAGTCACATTTAAAAAACTGAATAACATGAAAACAATAAAATTAACTTGCTCGGATCTCAACAATTTCAATGCCATATTGCATAAAAGGAAAATGTAAAATTTTGGTTTTGCCTTGTCTCTATACAAGTTAAATGCCATATATATTCTTAAAAAAAAAAAACATTTTCAGAAATTGTCAGATTGAAATTGCGTCCAAGTAGCAATGGAATGTTCAGGGGGTATTCAAGGGCCAACTTAATACTGCCTCCCTATCTCAATAATTGGTAATTTTGTACTTCACACATGATTGAACAATAAACTATTTTTATCACACATAAAAACTTTTGCATCACATTCAAATATCATAACTGATTTTATCATCGGACATAAAGTGATTGTTTTGTTCAACTTGCACTCAAAAATGAATGAAATATCTTTCCATACTCATATATTCAAGATGTTGAATGAAGATTAATACATAACAAGCACCATAAACTTAAAACAAATGAGAAATTATGCAAGTATTAAAAAATGTTCATATGGCTCTTACAATATTGTACTGTAAAGAGTACCAGCTGTGTACAACCTATTTGGCTGGCCTCAATAAAAGTAACACATTCTGCACTCTTTGGCAAGTAATAAGACAATACAAACAACAAGTTTCTTGTAATGCATCTGGAATTTGGATTTCTTGACCCATAGAGAATCACTGGAGAATAGTTCAGATCCACCTTTGATATCTGCCCAACACTCTCTGAACACCAAGAATAATGGCGAGGTAAAACAAATGATAAAATGCTTTTGGTGTCCATCAGACTAACCTGACTCAGAATCACTGGAGTCTGAGGAGCTACTAGAGTCACTAGAACTGCTGCTGTCACTTCCTGATGAACTACTACTGCTGCCACTCAGTCGACTTGAGCCACCAACCACATCAACTGTACCACTCTCTTCTACAAATGTACAAACATTGATGAATGTAAAAACCTTAACATAACAAGAAAAGCATATTACAGAAGATGGATTTTACAATATATTGGAATAATGCACTTTACCTTTTTTATTAGGTTTTTTGGCATTTGTTGTGCCACCACCCAACTGTGCTTTCACATCTGCCAATTGTTTCTTTAATTCCTGCTTTTTCTCTTTCTGAGCTTCTTCTCTTGACTTTCCAGAATCTTTCCTTGCTGTTACAAAAATTATTTATAAATGTCATACAATTCTTCATCAATAAAACATTACATACCCTCTTCACTTTTCACTGTTAATAATGAAATTAAATTATGTACAATAGCTTACTGTATGGTTTCCTTTTGTTCTTCTTTAAGCATGACATCACATAACTTTCAAGTTCTCTTAGTGTTGAGGGTTTGAGAGTTTCAAAGTCTATTTCTATTTCATCTGGATTCGAATCTCGTAAGGACGGCTCTCTTGACTGAATAATATACACAACTCTACCCAATTTGTCACCTAAAAAATTGAAATAACAAAATATTCATACCTTGAAATTCAAACAATATATTGCCATTGATTCATTTTTAATCATCAATACTGCATTAATAAACTCATCTTAATGAGAGTTTAAAACTATCTATCAACAATACATTTATAGTCAGATGTACTGGGCCTACTGGCAAAGATAGCAATTCACAAGGCATCATAAAAGGAAAGATAGCATCTTTTAGTTTGTTTACATTGTAAATCAAAGTTTATACTTCTTTTGGTAAAATTGTAGAATTAATAGAATTATCTTTTTTTGATGTAGTTTTGGGACCATAATCAATTACAACAGGCCCATTGGCCTTGATGGTCACCGTGGTATGACCATGGTATCACAAGTTTCTCTTTAAATGTCTAATCCCGCCAGGAACTGAAACTCACTCTTGAAGAGGCATGAAATTTAGAATTGGTGTGGACACTACGCTCAGAATCTTTTTCATGAAGCTGGTTCATAAGTGATTAGGAGTAGAAAATATTTTAAAGAATAAAGCAGTGTCAAATATGTGATCATCTAAGCTCCACATTCTGCCATCAGCTGTGGGGGACACATCTTTCATAAAAACAACTTGCTGTCACTTTTGCTTAAAGTTTGTTTTAGTAAATATTCAGGAATTTTTTTTTTTTTTATTTTTTGCTTGGTGTATTTTACAAGGTGGGTAGGCAGGTAGCTATTATTTTTTTAAATAATCTAATACATTGATATTCATCATAAAAATCAAGGCTTGGAAAATAATATTGATGTTTAATACACTAGACCAGTGTTTTCCATTTATTACAAAGTAAAGGGTTAGAGATCCACTGGAACAGGCTAGGGGTTGATTGAGGTTTATGAACAAAATCTCTGTGAACCTTACAACAATTATTTTTTAAATCTTTGATTTCTAAGCGGCATTTTTATCAACTGAAGTGGTCAATTTGACTGGCAGCCGGTTCTTAGGGAAAACACTGCCAGACAGCCAAACAAATTTAATATTATTAAACTTGTTTTAAAAGCACCTTAGAGAAATGATGAAGGTAATTCTGGGCAATTGTTCTCCCCGCTCAACAAGTAAAGGGTGAAAGAGGTGAAAAAATGCAGATGGAGAAAAGGGGGGTTGGCCTTGACCTTTCAACCTTAAAGTCAATAGGGGGCTTTTTAAAGTTAAGGAAATCATGACCTTGCATTTCATTGAGAGCTCAAGTTATCATCTGAAAACTATGTATGTCATAAATGAGTTTCTAACCTTGGTCTTGGACCTTTTGACCTCAAACCAATAGAGGTCTTTTTAAAATCATATTGAGTAAAAGCATAAAATTTCATCGCAAAAACTCATAGAGAAAATAAGCTATTACCATTCCATGCACGATATTACGTTTCGACCTTAAACTCAATAGAGGTCTTTTTAAGTCACTGGGAGCTATGATAAAAGACTTCATTGAAAAAACTCAATGAAAAATTAGTTCAATATCTAAGAAATATTTTTTGCAACTATGAATTTCTGACCTTGACCTTTTAACTTAAAATCAATAGGGTTTTCCTTAAAGTTAGTGGGAGTTGTGATCTGAAATTTCAAGGGAAAAGTTTAGAGAACTAAAGTATAAATTTCTGACTTTGACCTTCGACCATGTTGACCTCAAAATCATTAGTTTTTTTTTTTTTAAACATTGATAGTTACTAGTATTTCATAAATTTTCATTGAACCAGCTCAAAGAAAACTACAGTTACCATGTTGAAAACATTTTCTTTTAGCTATGTATGAATTTCTGACCTTGACCTTTTGACCTCAAAATCAATAGAGGTCTTCTAGGCCACAGGAAGTTGTAATTTAAAATTTCATTGCAAAAGCTCAAGGCTTTTTGAGATATCATCCAGAAGTAAAACAGGGTTCGACACAAACATTCTTAGTCGGGCCGGACTAGTGCTTCTTTACTTTTACTTGTTCGGGCACAATTTTGCAAGTCTGTCAAAAAAGGAATATCAATCAGTGTTTTGTAATGATTAAAATAAATATAACAATGTACCTTTTATACTTTTTTTGAAATTAACAAAGCATTTATGTGAAGTGTTTTATTCCAGATTTATTGCAATCTTGTGATCAGGAAATAAGATTGGATTCTCAATCTCATTCATTACATTCAAAATGTCTGACATCCTCAGGGTTCTCACTAGGATTTTGCTAACTTGAGTCCCAGGACTCAAGATTTCTGAGAAGGTTGCGTCCCAGCTAAATTTGATGCGTCCCAGAAAAATTATGTTGAGTCCCAACTAAAATATTGCAGTATTCTTCCATCCAAACATCAATAAAAATCTTTATCATTTTATCAGTTTGTTTACGCAATATTAACATATTCAAGTATATAAACTGGTAATGCATTCAAGCCATATTCTAAAATACACGCGTAATCAATTGCCATAAAAATAACTTGGTGTTTATAAAGCTAAAATTAACTGTTGCATAATCAACTAGTACCCAAAAGTTGACTGTGTACAATCACAGGTGTCATGTGCAATGAGGCGTAACTAATCCTGTCGGTCGTCTGCACTGGGTGAAATTCACGAGATAATCAAGCCCCATTGTGTATACAAGCAGTAATTATGGTTTCTGCATGTAGATAACACTCAAGATTCAAAAGTGTTTTTTTTTTAAGTTTGGCATGCGACACTATTATGACTGGACTAATAAACATGAAATATCTTATGATCAATCCCTGTTTAAAAAAAGTGAAATAAGTACAAGAAAAGTTGTTTCTTGGATAAACTTTATGATAGTTACATGAAGGTTTCGATTAAATATTTCTTTGACAAATCCTAACATCTAAATTCCCCGTTTTCGAAATCTCCCGAATTTTCTCGCTAACGAGGACGCGTCCGATCACGAGTCCGCGGACGCATCGTTTTTAAGAACCTTGCGTCCCAAGGAATTTTACTGCGTCTAGGACGCAGATTCTTGCGTTAATGAGAACCCTGATCCTTCATGATCGTTATGTTGTAAAATTAAGCAATGAATTGACTCGGATTTACCCAACTACCCGCCAAGAAGCTAGAAAGCTAAAAATACATGCGGGGTTTCTAGTATAAGTTGTCAAGAATTGAAGATCAGTAATTTATTCATTTGGTTTTCCAGAAATTTTTAATTGTCGTTCGGACTAATTGGCCACAGATTTTATTAGTCCTAGTCTGAAACTAAGACTAAAATTAGTGTCAAACCCTGTTAAAAGTGTAACACATACAGAATGACATGTGAACAGACCCAAATTAATATCCCCCCTTTCAGTGAAAGTGGGAGACAGAATGATACAGAAAAATTGTATTTCCCAGGGGAAAAAAATCAAGTACTGAAAAAAAAAATGAACAGGTAAGGACAAGGTAGGGATGACACATTCCTCAAAAATCTGTTTTGTATATCTTGGTTATATAAAAAAATATTAATAATTATTATTTCAGAATGTCTTAAAACATAACAAAAATTGTGACTTTGGCATTTTGAGTAATTTGCAATGGGATTATATAGGAGACACCATCCTCTGGTATCTTGCACAAATCCCTGGTGAGGTACCCCATCTTTTTGTGAGGAAAGTTGTTGAAGTAGCAAAACTTTAACAAGCATTCTGAGAGTATTGCATTAGCAATACTAGTCCCCTACCGGCAAGTGTAATCTGGTTCCCGTTAAGAATTGAAAATGCCATAATTCCGTCAAAAATCAATGAAGCGGGACGAAATGCAAACTTGATCTATAACTAATCAAAGTTAAGTCACATACCAAAAATCAGCTCAATATCTGAAAGCGTTAAGAAGAAAATTGCAGAAAACCCCTAAAAATTGAAAAGGCCGTAATTCCGTCAAAATTCAATGAAGCGGAACGAGATGCAAACTTGATCTGTAACTCATCAAGATACACTCGCATACCAAAAATCAGCTCAATATCTGCAAGTGTTTAGGAAAAAAGTGCGGAAAACCAAGTGGGACAGACTGACAGACAGACAGATAGACAGAGGGACAGACAGACGGACGGACAGACTCAGAGGAAACCTATGGTCCCCTCCGGTTTCACCGGTAGGGGACTAATGACAAATTCTTGGGAAAAATTAAATATTAAGGAATATAGGAACGTTTCGTCTAATCTTAAGTCAATGTAAGAGGAGACATTACTGAATCACTGAATAAATTTTCATGCTTGATCTCAAAAATATTTTTACTCACTACTTAAGAAAAATCTACAGATTGCAATTTACCTGGCAGTTTATTAATATCCAAACTTAATTGTCTCTTTTCATCATATGTCATTGGTTTAGCATTGTCTTCATCATCACTGTCCATGGGCACAGGCTGTGTAGGCAGTTGTCCAATTAAATTAGAATTTTTTGTTTTCTTTGCACTAGATACACTTTTATTAGTAGTCCTTTTCTTCTTAGTTTCTGATGGAGATTTTTTATTTGCTTTGTTTTTCGGCGTTTTTGCCGGTTTTGAAGTGTCCACTGGGTGTGGCACAACAGAAGAAACACTAGTGACAGGCATTGAGGAAGGAGTCTCTGTCTCCCCTATAACAGGTTTCACACTTGGTTTATCCTTCTTCTTTTTCTTTACCTTTTTACTTTCTTTGCGTTCCTTTTTCATTTTTAACTTTTGCATATGCTCCTCTGTCAATTTTGCTAGCTGCTCTTGTAAATTTTTTATCTGAAAACAAAAGGGATATCATAAACATTCATACTTTACACGTAGATCTTGAGCAAAAAATTGACAAAAATCAACATCTTCAAAATTTTTCATGTGGTAATCAGAATAAAATGAAATCATTTACCAAGTGCACAATTCAAAGACTACAATAAACTGCAATAAAACATTACAATCTCAGCAGTAAATGAATGTTACACATGGGTCAAATGACACGCATGTTTTCATCATCTTACACTTAATGATATTTCATGTATATTATCAATAACAGATTGATTACACTTGCCGTTTCAGTAATGTCCTTGATTTTTTGTTCCCTCTCGTCCTCACTATCTTCATCCTCCGACTCAGACTCAGGTAAATCTGAAATATCACTGTCACTATCTTCCAAGCCATTTCCTGCATCTAAAGTCTCTTCTGGCATTGTGGCATATTTCACTTCAAACACATCCTGAAGTTTACGTGCCATAACCACCACATCACTATCAGAAGGATTGTACCTATAGCAGTTTGTGAATATTAATCTCATGTCCTCAGCAAACTGAGCTGCTGTCTTATATTCACGGCTTTCCATCTTTTTCTGTCAATTACATAAATGAAACAAATATCAAATGGCATAGGTATAAAACAAAGTTGATCAATTAAGCACAGAAACACAAAAGCTGCCATGTACCCTTTCCAAGTAATAACCAATAGCTCATCATTTCCCCTAGATTCAAATTTATTCACATTGTTGCACAAATTAATAGATTTTATTCCAGGTTCCACCTACTTTGATTGTTCCCAGATCCATAGGCTTTTTGATGATGTCATGATAATCATGAAGCCCCAATACATCAGCATCCACTGGTTTGTAAAATGGCCAGGCATATGTCTGATGATTGGGAAAAAAAAGATGCAAACTAAAAACATAGGCAATCAAAGACAGGACAACTCACCTCAACAAATGATACCTTTAAAGTATAAAGTCAAAATCCCAAACTAAACTAATAATATAATGGTGTACATCTCTTGATGCAACATTATGCAATTTTGGTCTGATAGGGATTGCAGGTACTTGGGAATGGACTTGTTCTAAAAGCTTTAGTTACTCATCCAAAATCAAGCATCTGAAGCAGTTTGAGAGTGACCATCCCTTGATGCATTAGCCATGCAAGTTTGGTCTTGGTAGGACTTGGAAGTTACACTGGGATGAATCTGCTCAAGAAACTTTAACCTGGTCACTCATCTGGAAAATGAGGGTTAAATCCAGCAGCAGAAGCAACTCTGGTATTGTGCATCCTTTTACGCATCACATATGCAAGTTTGGTACAGATAGGACTTATAGTTTCTTGGTAAAGGACCTGCTCCAAAATTTTTAACTTGTCATTCATCTGGAAAATGAAGGCAAGATCCAGCATCCGAAGCAAGTCCAGCAGTGTGAATCCTTAGATGCATAATCCATGCAGGTGTGGTCAATATAAGACTTACAGATACTTGTAAATGAGACCTGCTGAGAAAACTTTAACCTGGCCTACAAAACATTAACCAGGTCATTCTTTATCAGAAACTGCAGTTTCTGAAACCTTGATACATTGTAACATACTAGAGCATCATTCATGCATCTCTGTTTAATATAGGGCATAAGAGTACTTAAAAAGAAATCTGCTCCAAAAACTAACTTGCAGCTGAGGGTATTACATTACCCCCCCCCCCCCCCCCCCCCCCCCCCAACACACACAAAAACTCCCAACTTTGCCGAGGTGTGCTAAAAAATCAAATTCATTTCTTTTTTCTTTCTATATATCACAATTTGGAAGGGGGGATAACAAACCTGATGTTTTTTGGAAAACAACTCCTTGATTAAATTGTTGCAGTATTTAAGCTGCTCTGACATTTTACCCTTTTTGCTCTTGGCACCATGCTGGCTCTGAAAAATTTAATGAAGTGTTGGTTTAAATACATGTATATTTGCCTCTACTCTAGGAGAACAAACACAATTTTCAGGGGTTGAAATATACAGTAGCACGATGCCCGGGGCTAGTCATTTCAAGACTCAGGCTAGCTAATTCAAATGTAATGATAGTCTGTCGGGCTAGCAGAACAGAAAAAAAATTCTCGTCAGTTTACTTTTGCTTTTCTATGTAGATTGGTTTCTTTTGAATGAGAACTACATTGTAGTACAATTTGTTTCTGTCACCATATCATTTGAAACTTATGTTTTCATTTTGCATAAAAAAAAAAATTGGACTAGTTAGTTTGAGGTTTGGGCTAGTAATTTTTTACGGATCAGTAGCCCCTGGACTAGTGGGTTTTCAAGGAAAATTTCAACCCCCGATTTTTTTTTTTTTTTTTTTTTTTTTTTGTCGAAATATACATGTACGTAATTCATGTACAAAAAGTAGTCATTTGTCTTGTTTTCTTTCTTTAGTAAGGCGAATTGAAATATTTTTATACCTCTGGATTCTGTCTGCACTATTATAATGCATTTTTTTTTTGGTCATCTTATGAAAATTTTTATTAACATAACCAAAATTCAAAATTTTGAATTTGTGCATCAAATGGAAAAAGAATCACTGTGCATTAACATTTTCACTGTTTCACTTTTCTACAATTCGACACTGCTTTTTCCGTGACAAATCACTCTCAATTATATTTTTTTGCTTTTCTGCAAATTGTTTTAACAGTACCTGACTACCTCTTTCATAAGCCAGGTAATATCTTACCACTGCAACTCCTTTTGCATCAGTTGTAATCATAGCTTTGCAAACTTTTTTCTACACTGCATTGATTAAGAAACTTCACCATTAATTAAAACACTGAGTTTTCCATATATATTATATTATACATTGGTAGTGGTTTCTATGATTTGTTTCAGTATGAATAATTTCCATGACTTCTGAAAAATATCACCAACCAGTGTGAACTGCAAAATTCGTTCTTTTAATTTTATCACATTGTGAGGTTATACTTACTACTACTTCCTAGAATTTTATGAATGTTTACCGTGGCCATTGAAAAATTGCAAAAAAGAAGGTATCAAATGAAGGAGATAACACAGAACTTACAGATTAAACCAAACTCAAACAAGAGGCCCATGGGCCACAACGCTCACCTGAGTCAATATGGCCCTGCTGTTCTTCGTCAGCAGATTTCTTCTCCTATATTTCTCCTATATATTCATATATAAAGCTTTGATCGCCTGTTCTAGGCATACCCTACCCCAAGGTGCCATGTTTTGAATGAAATTGAATATAAACCTTCTGAGGATGCTTCTATCTTCATATAACTAATCATGATTTTGCTGTTCTTTAAAACAGAATTTTAAATATGTCTAACACCCTACCCGGGGGGGGAGGGGGGTCATGATTTGAACAAACTTGATTGTACACTACCTGAGGATGCTTCCATATCAATATGACTGATCATGGCTTTGTTGTTCTTGAGATTGAAGAAGATTTTTAAAGATATTTCCTGTATATGTTCTATTGTAAAACTTTGATCCCCCATTATGGCCCCACCCTACCACTGGAGGATGCCTTAAACTAGCTTGAATCTACAATATTTGGGGAAGATTCCATATCAATATGACTAATTGTGGCTTTCTTGTTCTTGAAAAGAAGATTTTTAAAGATTTTCCCTATATATTCCTATGTAAAACTTTGATCCCCCATTGTGGCCCCACCCTACCCCCGGGGGTCATGATTTGAACAAACTTGAATCTACACTACTTGAGGATGATTCCATATCAATATGACTAATTGTGACTCTGTTGTTCTTGAGAAGAAGATTTTTTTTCTACATATTCCTATACAAAACTTTGATCCCTCCTTGTGGCCCCACCCTACCCCCAGGGGTCATGATTTGAACAAACTTGAATCTACACTACCTGAGGATGATTCCATATCAATATGACTAATTGTGGCTTTGTTGTTCTTGAGAAGAAGATTTTTTAAGATTTTCCCTAAATATTCCTATGTAAAACTTTGATCCCCATTGTGGCCCCACCCTACCCCCGGGGGTCATGATTTGAACAAACTTGAACCTACACTACCTGAGGATGATTCCATATCAATATGACTAATTGTGACTCTGATGTTCTTGAGAAGAAGATTTTTTTTCTATATATTCCTATACAAAACTTTGATCCCCCATTATGGCCCCACCCTTCTCCCGGGGGTCATGATTTGAACAAACTTAAATCTACACTACCTGAGGATGATTCCATATCAATATGACTAATTGTGGCTTTGTTGTTCTTGAGAAGAAGATTATTAAAGATTTTCCCTATATATTCCTATGTATAACTTTGATCCCCCATTGTGGCCCCACCCTACCCCCGGGGGTCACGAATTGAACAAACTTGAATCTACACTATGTAATGAAGGTTTCACATAAGTATAAACTTTTCTGGCTCAATGGTTCTTGAGAAGAAGATTTTTAAAAGATAACACCAAATTTTCACCAATTCTTAATTATCTCCCCTTGGAAGAGGGCGTGGCCCTTCATTTGAACAAACTTGAATCCCCTTCACCCAAGGATGCTTTGTGGCAAGTTTGGTTGAAATTGGCCCAGTGGTTCTGGAGAAGAAGTCGAAAATGTGAAAAGTTTACAGACGGACGGACAGACAGACAGACAGACAGACGGACTACAGACAAAATGTGATCAGAAAAGCTCACTTGAGCTTTCAGCTCAGGTGAGCTAAAAAGCAGTATGAAGAGGTCACGGAAAAGCAGACGGCTGAAACTGCAGAAAAGCAGGACAGCCAACATTTTTAATACATTGCACAACCCTATCTTTTTTAACAAGGTTTTCATGAGTAGGTAATAAAAACAGAGCATTGTTTCCATGGCATGAAGCAGGGATCACCAATAACTGATACCTGTGATTTCCATGGGTTTTAATGTCACCTACAGTGATTGTGACACATGACTACATCATGTATCACTGCCACACTGAGGTTGTGAATGAATGGATTTTATCATACATTATTTTTCTGTAATCATCAAATGAAAAGGAATTGGTTATTACTTTTTTTTTTTTTAAAATTATTTGAGTGTCCTTGAAAATATTATCCTCTACATCTGCTCAAGACATAATACAGAGCAAAATGCCATAGAGAATTATTTGCTCAATTCTTGGCAACACTTTTCATGAAAACCAATTTTAACAATTTCAATGCTAATATATGGGTACATACCTCTAATTATTTTTAAAAGTGGCAGGGGAAGAAAGTAGTTCACTAAAACGAAATAGTTCCTTAACTTGCAAGCAGTATTTAAAATACATTGGTCATCTGAACTAAAGATGCTTGATATATACGAAAGAGGAGAAAATTCCACATTCAAAACCATTTTCATTTTTGTGTTATCTTTGTAAGGAAAGGTATTGAATTCTTTAATATGTGGATACCCTGACTTTGGGAATTACCCAACTTAACTTTCATTTTCAGATGTTTTTGCGAACGTGTGCATTTTGACGGAAAACAAATCTGACATGCCACCTCTAGATTTTAACCAGTTAGAAAAAATTTGACGATCTTTCATTTGAGGGGTGTCCCATCCTTCAACGAAAATTAGGGTAGGAGCTGTGTGGGAAAACGTTAACATTGCCATCTATGAGAATTGTATTAGTGGACTGTACCCATATATGTGGCCTGGTAAACTACTTACTGAGAAAAAGAATAGCTTTCCATGCATTTCATTCTATTTCACTAATACTAGTGGGTGCAATCTTCAAGTACAACAGTAAGCATGCCTAAAATAAGAACATACCTTTTCACCTACCTGTTCTTCTGGAAGATCCCTCTTTGGCTTAATGATTTTCCTATTACTTTCTCTACGAACTGCTGGGATCTTTGCAGCCATTACAGGTGTGTTTACAGAGTTGATTATCTTTTTTTCTACTTTGGGACTAGGCTCATAAAGTGGATCTCCTGGAGAGGATGTCACAACTACTGGTGTAGTAGTGTCTGCTTTCCTTTTAATACCTCTCTTTGTCTAGAATCAAGATCATCTGATCAGATACATGTAAGATTTAATCAAGACAGAATTACGTTACACTTTATTAACCAAGAAAATGGATGGTCTACAAGGCCTATCTGAAGGGTAATGTAAAGATGGAGTTAAAGAACACAATCATGATAGCATAATGAATTATTTTTAATAAACAGCACATGTCTCTGATGAGACTAGCTTTCTTGTTTATACTTGCAATTACCAAGAAAAAAAAGATTTATAACATTTTTTGAGCTTTACTTTTTTTTCATTGAAAAGGATCAGAACTTCCTCCAGCAAACCTGGAGGGAAGCAATATGATGATAGTGGACAGGGTTTCACACCAACATTTTAAGGCTTCAGTCCTGCCGGACTAGTGCTTCTTTACGTTTACTAGTCCATATGCGATTATATGAGTCTTACAATAAGTTTTGTTACAATTAATTGAAATATAAATATTACAATGTACCTTTTACACTTTTTTGAAATAAACAAAGCAATTACATAAAGTGTTTTACTCCACAGATTCCTTGAAATCTCGCTATTAGGAAGTACGATCGTATTCCCGATCTTGTTCTCTTTTCTTTATACATTACATCCAAAATGTCTAACATCTTTCTTTTATGTGTCATACTAAATCATGATCGCTAAAACCTTTTTAATATCAATCAGTTGAAAAATTAAGCGCTGAATTGACTTGGATTTATTTAGCTAACTACCTGCCAAAAATCTAGAAAGCCATGCAGGGTTTTCCAGTAAAAGATGTAAAGAATAGAACATTGGTAATTTAATCATTTTGTTTTCCAGAAATTTTTATTGGTCCAATCGGACTTATTGGCCTTAGATTTTAATTGTCTGAATGAAAATGTATTTGTCTGAGACAAACGGACTAACGCTAGTGTCGAACCCTCAAGGACCTTCAGATATTCTGAGGCCTTCAGATATCCAGACACTTTAGCTACAATACATTTTTGGGGGGAATATTTATCATTATTTTTACTCATTCACAGGAATTTTGCTTTCCAAAACAAGATAGTCTTATCCTCCAACAATTTCAACTTTACTCTGTATTTTGGTTCATTTATAAATCCAAATGGTAATGGCCAGATTTCATTTTGTGCTTAGGTTAGAAAGACAGAAATTCCAATTTTGTGTCCCATCAAATATGAATTCTGTTCCATACACAGTTACTCTTGACATCAAAAAGTTACAGCAAAATGCAGTCCTTTGCTAAAGATATTTCATACAGTGGATAACTAAAGATATATTGGTTTTGTATATAGTGAACTTCTTCAAATAGGCTAAATATTAAAGCCAGGCTATAGTAGATATGTAATTATGTAGTTGGAGCTCGTTAACGTGACTCATTACGTTCGCTTAATGGACTGAAAAAAATGTCACTCAAACTCAAAAGCTTTGCTTCCTTCTACTTTCATTTTCCAGTAAGTCAACCTCTACATTTATGTTGTAAATGCCTGGATTATAATTTTGAAGAAAGTAAATACAGTTGAACTTCGGTATCTCGAATACAATGGATATGTCGAAGTGACTTGGAAGTCTAAAACACTTATTATTTATGTATTTTACCCTCGGTATCTAGAATAATCGGATAAGGAGTTCGAGATAACGAGGTTTGACTGTACCTACTACTCGGTAATTCTCCACTGTTATTAGGGAAAAACAAGACATTTATGGATGGAGAAAAAATTCATTTCTAATGGGTATACCTAAACATTACTGGTTGCAAGATAACACAATAAAAATTTACTTTGGTGGGTTGAGCTGGAGGGACTACGTTATGGTCCATCATTGCTCCTAATGTAGATGTACTACTGGCAATAGCTGTTTTGGCCTCAGGCTCTGACCCTGAAGCAGTGGTTGAGACATTTGCAGGGGATGGAGCGTTGACTTCTGAAGAGATGGGTGCAAATACTGTTGTTGATGTCAGAGAGTTTGGAGTACTTGAGGAGGCTTGCTGGACTGAAGTAGTAACAGCTGACTTTATATTGCGTGGTGTGGACACTTTGATTTTAGGAGTTTTTTTAGGAGGTGCACTTAATTCTTTTTCCTAAAATGAAAAAATTTATTCCTTAATGTCTTTTCAAATTCAAATTCCAAACAAAAATATACTGTCATGCATAAAGAAACAGCAAAAAGAAGCAATTTTTTTTTTTTTACCTCGGGTGGCATTTGTGCAACTTTCTGCAGGAAAAGCTTCTCTAACACCTGAGCCATTAGTACAATGTCCTGAAATTAAAGCAATTTATGTGCACTGGTTTCATACTAGCAGTGAATGATCTTTTTTTTAACCAATTTGTCCTATTTAACTGAAATGAACTGTACCTCTTTCTTCCCAAGCCCTTAATGGTACATTTCTACACAATGTGCAATTTGGCAATTACACAACATACCTCTTTCGGATTGTTGTAAATGTAACAATTTGTGAACATCTGATTAAAGTCTTGTATGCATTCAGTTGCTGAGTAGTAGTAGTTCGTTTCTAGTCTTTCTTTTATTGTTCCCAAATCCATTGGTTGCTTAATTATGTCATAATAATCCTGCAAAATATTGAAGTGTTTATTCCGATATGGCAGAAAAGAGGTCAATGAGCTTATTAAAATAGTTTCACAAAATGGTTTTGACATGCAGATCCTCAAATGAGATTACCTCTAAGAATGGTGCAGTTACATACACTACTATGATATGCAATGCAAAGCTTCTGCAGAAAATCAAAGTAAATCTACTTTTCCTTTCAATATGCTTGTGATGAGTATCAATTTAAAATAAACAAGAGATGTTTGTGAAACACTAACACCCCCCCCCCCCCCCCAACTGGGAATTTTTCTAAGTCCAAGGGTCATAACTGTGTCAAAAATTGCTCGATCGTACCCAAAACAGAACTTCACCTAGATGTTCTTATGATAAATCTGTAAACCAAATTTCATTTCAGTATGTGCAACCTCTGCAAAGAAAATGAATGGAAACTACAAATAATTGGAATTTTCCTTAGTCCAAGGGGCATAACTCATGTCAAAAATTGCTCCATTGGACCCCAAACAGAAGTTGACCTAGATATTCTTACGATAAATCTGTACACCAAATTTCAATTCAGTATGTGCAACCTCTGCAAAGAAAATGAACAGAAACTGTTGGTAACCGAAAGACAGCAGCAAAGCAATGTGCCCTCCCTCCTTCAAAGGGGGGGCATAGTAAATAAATAGATCTGGACACCAATTATGACAAGTCACATGGTATTTAACTTACTGGCAAATTAAGAATTTTTATGTCAACAGGCTTGTGAAAAGGCCAGGCATACTGATGTTTCCATACAGCTTTAAGAACTGTTTTCTGTAAATACTGGAGCTGATTTGTTTTGCGTCCTTTAGGGCGATCGCTTGGCTTTGACTGTTCACCAGTAGGACAAGAGGGGGATGGAGAAACATCATCGTTACCATCCGAGTCCTCATTCTGGGAATAGAGTGCTATAGATTATTCTGTAATCTTTTAACTAGAAATCAAGAATGTTTTCTTTTCAGAAGTGATAAAAATTGACAGATACCTCATTCTCAATCACTCACCATTTTGAGGGACTCTGAATCGCTGGGGAAATTATATTCATTTGTGGAATTCTGCATAACTGGACTCTGTTGCACAGAGTCGCCACTAGCCCTTCAATACATACAAAATTCAAAATTAACATACATTTAATAAATGAGAGGACTGGGAAAGTTTACAAGCATCTTGCAGAAAATCACCCATTCAAACCCAATGCCTGGAGTTAAATTTTTCTGAAGTCAGATTAAGGCCTGAAAAACAAATAAGTTTGTTTCCTGTAACCCGACTGACCCTTTCAAATTACCCTCGAGCGGATTTTTTTTTCTGCCAAATCTTCGTTTCCTCTTTGGTTTGATCAATAAGCTGATTCCATTTATTCAAAAAATATTAATTGCAGCTTTATTTGAGATATAAAATATGTCATCCTAGTCAACAGTTACCTTAAATATAAAGAGTAATCATTATTGTAATAACAATTTCCACCCACAACTTTTTGAAGTTCGTTTTCTGCCGCTAGGCAGCCATTTTGGGTGTCCACTTTAAATATAACACCTGGTTAATTCAGTCCGGGGATGTTTGACCCTATTATCTCTCAGCAAAAAAAAAAAAAAAAATTCCGACCTACCGACCCTCGATTTTTTGGGAATGTTACAGGAAACAAACATAATTTTTTTTAAGCCTAAACAAATAAAATATACAAAGTCCACGGTATTTGCCTAGCATAGCTGCATTACAAACAAGTAAAAAATTAACACAAATTTTACAGAATTTTCAAATCCTCTCTTTTATTGTAAATTATTACTGCAGATGCAAATATTCAGGACTCCCAATTGCCTCTGATATGAGCAGCTGAATGACCCAGTTTCCCATGCAAAGCTGGTAAATTTTCCTCAAGCGATGTTATCCCCCCATCCCAAAAAAACTTGGTATGATGAACAAGACGGAGAACCAAGATTACTTTTTAAGAGAAAAAAATGCTTTCACATAGATTTAAAGCTATATCATTTTATGTGCTACATCTACACTTGCTCTTATATGTCTAAAATTTACCATTAAAAATTATAAACATTCAACCTAGATCTTCCTTGCTATACCTCACCAGAAATTACCTTTTCAAATCCTGAAAATTGGCTCCCCCCCCCCCCCCTTTTCATTGATCCTCTTGATGTTTATGTTTCATAAAAAGTTGTACAAATTCAACATTGCAAGAATTTTTATCATTTAAAAAATGCATACCTTGTCATATCTGCTTGCATAGTCGTCCCAGTCATCAAAGTATATCTGGATCAAGGAACGTTCTTTTCCCTGCGGGAAACCTGAATTCCCCGCACATCCCACGCCACATTCGGTCACAACATGGCAAGATGAGAAAACAAATTGATTTCTATCTGAAAAGATAAATAAACAAGTATTTTTGTTATGTAGAATAAACACATATTTTTGTTTTGTAGAATTCCAAGTTATTGGAAATATTTTAAAGAAATACATGCTATATAAACCCTGATTTTTTATGTGAAATAAAAATGATAAAATGGTTTGAGAAACATGATGTGTAATGAAAAAATAATATTTTCCACAAAGTTTTACTAAATAAGTCATCGTAATTATAAAACAATCAAACGATCTGCAATTAAAAATTCAGTCTTTACATTAATATTGGTGAAGGATGCATAAACAGTATATAGACATGCATGTCCGCAGGAAATCATAGGCGACGAGGTGTTGCATTTTGACTACGACTGTGAATGAAAGGTTAGGTTAATATCTGTCATAACATAGTAGAGGGTTAATACCGGTTGCTTTAAAAGTATCTTTAAGTGTTGGACGTTTGCCATTCATGTCAAAAGTTATTTGTATACCAACAGCCTACCTCGTTTTCTTGACACTATTATTGTTTATCAGTCTAAAAGTAGCGACGGTGTTACGTGATGCAGGGTTCTCATTAACGCAAGAATCTGCGTCCTAGACGCAGCAAAATTACTTGGGACGCAAGGTTCTTAAAAACGATGCGTCCGCGGACTCATGATCGGACGCGTCCTCGTTAGCGAGAAAATTCGGGTGATTTCGAAAACGGGGAATTTAGATGTTAGGATTTGCCAAAGAAATATTTAATCGAAACCTTCCTGTAACTATCATAAAGTTTATCCAAGAAACAACTTTTCTTATACTTACTTCTCTTTTTTTAAAACAGGGATTGATCATAAGATATTTCATGTTTATTAGTCCATAGTCATAATAGTGTTGCATGCCAAACTCCGACAGCTGTAAACACACTGCAGCTTTTTTTTTAAAAACACTTTTGAATCTTGAGTGTTATCTACATGTAGAAACCATAATTACTGCTTGTATACACAATGCGGCTTGATTATCTCGTGAATTTCACCCAGTGCAGACGACCGACAGGATTAGTTACGCTTCATGGCACATGACACCTGTGATTGTATACAGTCAACTTCTGGATACTAATTGATTATGCAACAGTTAATTTTAGCTTTATAAACACCAAGTTATATTTATGGCAATTGATTACGCGTGCATTTTAGAATATAGCTTGAATGCATTACCAGTTTATATACTTGAATATGTTTATACTGCGTAAACAAACTGATAAAATGATAAAGATAATTTTCATTGATGTTTGGATGGAAGGATACTGCAATAATTTAGTTGGGACTCAACATAATTTTTCTGGGACGCATCAAATTTAGCTGGGACGCAACCTTCTCAGAAACCTTGAGTCCTGGGACTCAAGTTAGAAAAATCCTAGTGAGAACCCTGGTGATGCCTTAATTTAAAAAGAGACATTACTTTCCTAGCAGGAAAATAATTATAATTTGACAACTATATAACGCATTCATTTCTAATGTGTAATTTACAGTATTTTCGCAAATTTTATTGGTAAACATAATAAATTTCCAACTTTATTCTTAACTGACGCAAGTTATAGCATGTAAAACTTTAACAACTTAAAAATTGTGTTGTTTTTCCTTCTCCAACCAGCCAAGTAAAAAAGCTGCAACCCGAAATTTTTTATTGCAATTTCTGAAAATTGTTACTTTCATTTTCTAATCTTTCTGCAATATTACTTGGAGGTTGATTGAAATTTGGGATGGGTATCACCAAAACTTGTATAGCAATACCAGTGTTTTTTTTTCAGTACTTTGGGACTGGGGGCTGGGGCCCTCAGAATTGGGAATTTCAGTGTCAATTAGTCTAAATTGGGAATCTCCCAGAAAACCCAGTCACTTAAAAAGCATTGTCAAAAAGCTGTGTTTTTGTCTTTGTATTAGTTTAACAAACAATTGTTATAACAAATCAAGACTATTCTTGGTATGAATTATCTAATTACTTGCATCAAGAACAATCGTGGTATGAATTATCTAATTATGAAGAAATCCAACATGGCTGAACAACAAAACCTGCCCGAACGTCACTGAAAAACGTGCAATAAACAAACTGAATTTGATCACATATTTTGTAAGTTTTTCTTTGGGAAAACTTCCACTACATTTTGGGAAAATACAGGCATATTTTCAATTGGGACTGGGGCCAAATTTCGGCCCCAAATCAGCCCTAAAAAAATCACTGAATACATATCACGAATTTTTCCAGAAGTATCAGGATAATATTTTTTAATGCAATTTTTACTATAATTTTAAATGCATTTCCATAGTTTTTCTTATAAATTTTATTTTTATCAATATATTGCTAAAGCATGTTTGAATGCTAGGATGCCTTTGTTTTACTGTTGTACACTTCCAGTAATTGTAATGCAAAAGTTTAAACAACAAAATTAATTATTCCAACATTAACTACTATGTACTTGATAACACCATCTTAGTCTCCATATCACAATATAAATCCTGTTTCCTGCCTATAATGACATCATCCTTTGTTATTCTGGGATTCCCCCTCAGGCTCAACCCCCCTGTAGGGGACGAACCCAAACACCCTTCTGCGTTTTTAATGCCCCCTGCTATTTTCAATTCTTTGGAACAACCCCGACGTTGCATTACTAATCACAAAAATTATGGGTGTCCAATTTCATTGGTTCATCAGCATATAATATTCAAGATACAAAAAATATTTATCAAAAGGTATATTACCAGAACCATTGTAAAACTTACTGAATACATCCAAACACATATAACCATATAGCACACATTAATTTCCAGTCCAATTTATCAATCATTACATCTACAATATATCTCAATATTTTGCAACATTTAAAATAAAATATTGCAACATATCACAATATGGTTATCCCTCTTTAAGGCTATCAACTCTTCTTAAAAAAGACAACATAATTCTCTTAAGGCTATTCAAGGGATCATACAACAAAACAGCTGAGCATTTTTTATGAAACTTCCTGCTTCAAGCAATTCCAAAGCTATAGATAACACATTCTTTGCGGAACACATATTTGTTCACAGAACTTGCTCCTTTGCTAGGTTTGCATGACACATAAATTCCCATGAAATTATCCATTACAATGTCTAAATCTTGACTCTATTTCTGCTTTAGTTCCAACCAAAATAAAGCAATTTCAGTTTAAAAACAATGGAGCTTAAGTCTAAAAGTTGTTAAATATTGATTTATCTACTGGTTACTACTTCCTTGTCAAATTAAATTGCCAATTGTTTTTCAAATATCAATTTCTTTAATGTCCAATTTTGAAGATGCCTCGCAATTATATCAGAATTTTTTTCCTGTGCCAACAGGTGCTGCTTAATTTTTAAGATGAAAAATTCCTAATGCAACTTCCAATAAACAGGTCACAATGACACTGTACATAATTGACGACTGTAAAACCATGAGAGCACCAGATACTGATTTGCAAAGCAATGAATACTTGTTTATTCTTTAAAACATTGATTAGTAGTTTCATTTAAAATAAATGTCCTTTTTATATGAGATGAAAGTCACCTTTTGTTTTACTTCAAAGCTATTTTTCAAAATTAAATGTGTATCACTGTATGGGGTACTATACCAAATGGTAAGTAGGGAAGGGGGGACACCCTACAGAACTGGTGTACCATTATCAACTTAAGTTCCATTCAATAAAATGTACACTAACAAAGAACCACAAAGTTGAATGTACAACTTTCATCACCTGCGAACTTTCAAGTACAAACTAACTTTGATCTAAAGAAATCTTCCTTCGTAAAAAATGTTTATACAAGCATCACCCACATCATCCTTGAAGTTAAAATATGCTGAAGACCTACCACTTCAAGTTGGATTAAGATTATAGGATCATTTTCATACAAAATTCTACAACAATTTCTATGACCATGATGACATGCTTTAAGAAACGCTGAATTTAAAGAAACATGGCAATTTTCAGGTGACACTGACTCACTTGAAGCCATTTTGTTCACGTGCTTCCGGATACATACATAATGGCGCTTTTCCATGGAAGCGTCCTTTAGGAGTTTACAATCGGACCATCCAGTGTAATGATAATAAACAAGTCCTTGTAAACAATGGAAAACACAATAGGAAAATTAGACAATTTCCACGTCCATTTTCATTACTTTGAGTTCAAAGTCTAGGCACCAAAGACGTAGTACCGAAATTCGATCTACTTATTAACCGACGCGGTGAACAACAAGTACTTTTCTAATCGCCTAATACAACTTAAAAGAAGCAGTAAAACATCTACATTAAAACCATTCATATACTGCATTAACCAAGCGCCAAATGAACAGCTATAAACGATGCAAATCCGATGCAATTTGTGTTCGTCGCTGTCGCTACAATGGCGGACATAAAAGTTGTTTATTTTCCCCAACTTTGTAGACATTTTATAATGCTCGTTGACCCTCTTAACAAAAAATTTACATTAAGTACCCTGAACTGCAGATAGATGTGTACTGCTGAACCTGTTGCAATGTCGGATGGTTCTTCAGGTCCATTCTATCCACATGATTCAGTAGGGCATCTTTATATTCATCTCATTCATGAACGACCATCTCGGTCAAATGAAATGCTTATATACCTTCTCTACGAAATCGAAGATTTTGATTGGTCAATTTGTGTCACATGACTTTAAGAAGAATTAAAATAAGACCATTTCTTGAATTCCCTTTGTATATTTCATTCCAATAACATTCATACACGACAAGTAAACTTATCAAGAAGTTTACAAAGTAATTTTTAGCAAGTAAGCCATCTACAAGGCAACATTTTGACTAGACGTCAGGAACACAAATGATTCCCTGCGTACGTTGATCAAGGGATTGAAAACTGATTGGCCACTTCAGTCATGTGATCTTGTGATTGCGAAAAGGACATATTTATTTTTGATGAAATGCCAAATCAACTTTGAAAAAAATATTTTTATATTTAAAAAACAAACATTGAGCGATAAAATATGATAACTAGAAAAAAAGAAGGAAAAAATAAAAGCTTATTAAATTATGCGCCGAATTTAGAAATGACGCATGCGCAAAGCAAATGTATACACATGGGCCGGGGAGAACCAACTTTTAAGCTCATAAAATTCATTTTTCAAAGACTTTAGACCCATAAGAAGTCAAAGGTTTGTGATATAGCTGTTAAATTATCTGCAACAGCTTAGTGATTTTTATATATGTACATATGGGGTTTCCATTTTGGCCAATGTCGACTATGTAGAACTTATAGCTTTCCTGATTTCCTCTGTTCTCTATTGACATTAAAATATTTCCTATAAACACAGAAAGTAGAGATCTGTGAAGGAAGCTTAGAAATCGTAACACAGGTGCTAGAAATTGTAACACGGAGAAACTTTTGCTGCGAGTTTTTACCTTCAAGTTGAAGCTATAGTTTACTTCTCTGTCAATTTCCCATTTAGTACTAACCGGCCAGCATTAATAAATAGTGATTTTTCAGATTTTAAAGATGTCTGCTGATAGTGGTGCAAAACCCCCAGAAGCCACAGAGACAAAACCTGTATTGACCCCCACAACCACCACCCCTGCCAGCACAGTGACCACAACACAGAGTTCTACCTTATCAGTCACCACCCCAAAGTCCAGCTCACAACCTCTGGTAGAGTGTTAGCATGTTAGATCTATATCAATCCAATAACTAGAATGTGGCACTTTACCAGGTCTGGGCGGCCTCCGTTTTTGGAGGATAGCTAAATTCAATATGGCGGCCAAAATTTTTACCATATATGGAAACCCCGTTGCATTGTGGGATAGTTTATCCTCCGATTTCAGAGGATAACACAGGTAATTTCAAACACCTCGTGCCTACCTTTAATCAAAAAGTGCAAGCACCAGAGTACATGCAAATAAAAGTTCAAACATTGAACTATCGATTGTATGTGGCGATTTGAGATTCTATGTCTAGATATTTTGCAATTTATTTTCAAAGTTAGCACTTTTTGCGCTCCATTATTACTGAATATTTCTTGTTATTTTGTTTTATTTTTTATGATTTTTCTCTATTTATACAAATAAAAGAGGACTTTAATATTTCTTTTATATTTTCTTTTAATTCAAAAAAAGGAAACACAAAATGAAACGCATTTTAAGCGTATTTAAAACGCAAAATATACTCTGCCTTATAATTTAAGCAAATAAAAGTATAAATGGATTGAATGAATAATTATAAAAATAAATAAATAATTTGAATAGCATAAGTAAATAAGATAAATAATTTGACATGTTTACTAGGAAATTAACATATATTCATACAGCCATGTGTATACATAAACAAATAAAATATTAAAAGTGATGTGCTAAAGAATTATTAAATGAAAGAAATAATACATGATTAAACTTAATTTTTCAAAAAAAATTGTTCATCAAAATTTCTAAACTGCTTATCACATAATTACAGTACTGGAAAATCAGCGTGGTTATAATTAACCCCAGTCGCAGGCAGGTGAAAGCAATATTTGTTTTCCAAGCTGTATACCGAATAACTGATTGACGGCAATTACAAAAATATAGATATATTGATTTAATATCTGGAATTATCCATCATCATAGGAAATTGTACCTTTTATTATGTTCCCCAAACGAAGTTTGGGAACATATTGTTTTTACTCTGTTTCTTATTATTATTAAGTCTTCCGTTCACAACGGAAGACTTATAGTGATTGTATTGTTTCTTTTTATTATTATTATTATTATTCCTCCCAAATTTTGTGAGCGCGATTACTCAGAGATGGTTGGATAGATTTTCACAATTTTTCACATGATAGTAGGCTGATATATGAAGTTTATATAAAATTCCGTTTTTTGAAAAATTCACTTCCGGTCCGAAGTTACGGCCGAATTTCCAATTTTTAAATGGACTTTTGTCCGGAATTTTTCTCGTAAACGGTTTGAGGTAAAGATGTGAAATTTACAGGGATATTAGATCATGACATTTTCTTTGTTTCGAAGTTGTTTTCGTGTGTTTCCGGTACTTCCTGTCCGAACCGGAAGTGAACTTGTGTTTGGTCAATTTTCAACTTTTTTGTTTTTTAATATTTTTTCAAGATATTATTATGTATAACAGAGGTTATTCTACAAATACTAAATATATAATTTGTTTTGAAATCAGATTCCACATTTTGCAGATTTTCGGTACCCTCATTTTCCCTATTTGCCTAGTGTGTAGACAATGGGCAAAGAAAGATAACTCTGACTTGTAAGTGAGAATAGAACTTTCGAGATAAAGGCGGAAATAGTATCGATGACGTCTGAGACATATACACTCTTCATATCAAAATATTTAGACGTTCTATATTCACTCTTCAAAATTTAAGAGTACGTTGGTTACCGCTTCCAGTGCATGTAAAGTTTGAAGTTGCCAGTGTAGTGTAAGTCTGTATTGACAGTTAATTGATTTACACATGAATATATCTAAAAAAAAATTAATATATATGCTAGGTAGCTAATTCAAGTAAATATATTATAAGCACTGAATATACATTTATAGTGATGGACAGGCATGCAGTTTTATCTATTTCGTATATTAAGTTCAGAATACGATAGTTATAAGCCTTCTATAATGCAGACGATTTATTATTCTCTATGATTTGAATGCGAAATTATCCCGATTTCCAAGTTTTACTTTCGATATTAAAAAATATTACATACATTCAAAAAAGGAATTAAGCGATAGAAAATTGTAATACAGTACTGTTTTAAAGCCTTTATAAATAAATTGATATCTGCCACTGAAAAGAAAGAAAATCAATCTATATATTAGATTTGGTTTGATAAAAGGTTAAGTTATTTATGACACATGATCTATACTCTATATACCCAAGGAATTATAAAAGATGTGAAAAGGCGATTCTTGGTTTCTTGTGAAATACTCAAAGAGTTAAAGAGTGTGTGAAATAATGATAAAAATGATAAAAAAAATTGTACAGGTCTGTTAATATGTGGGATAAGTATATCTGAATGAACACAATTTTATGCAATGATATATAATCATGTACATGCAACTGACGTCCGTACTTTTCCTTATAATTCATAAAATATAAAATTATCTAATTCCTTTGAAGCCCCCCCCCCCCCCTTTCTTGATTAATATTTGGAGACGTTCGTGCAGCTAGGCATTTGAATTATATATTTGTTTTAGATTTAAATCTGGAACATGTGAATAACATTACCATTTACATGTATACAGAATTTCATATTCTATAATTATGAAATGTTCAATTTACATGTCTGAGAGAGAGAGAGAGAGAGAGGAGAGATTCCCTCTTAATCCCGATCCAGACCAAAAATTAGTTCTATATCGGTCACACCCATTCTTTATTAGATGTTTTCTGATTTCATAGTCAGTCATGGTCACATCCTGTATATTTTTCAGCTTAAAAAGTATCACATGAAGTGCACGTGTGTTGACCTGTCAATCAAAATCACTTGACGCTGTATGCACTGCAATTAAGTAGCCCGAGTTCGAAATGATCTTGAAGTATGATCTTTAAGTAAATTTGATGCAATAAACTTGTGAAAGAATAGAATAAAATAAAAAAATAAAATATCTCGGTATTATGAACTTCGATTGTGGGACGTGGAGACCGGTCCTTTGGATGAGATCGTATAAATCGAGGTCCCTTGTCGCAGAAGGTGCTGGCATAAAAAAGATTCCTCACTGCTCAATTGCGATAAGTGCCAAAGTATAGGACAAAAATTTGCAGTCTCCACCGGCGAGTGGTGGCATCTCCATGTGAGTGAAAAATTCTGGAGAGAGACGTTAAACAACATACGTATAATCAATCAATCAATCGATTGCTGAAGAATTACTGTAATTGAATAATCTGTCTTATAGGTATGCTGTCAAATCTTGATATTATAACTTTACAAAACTCAGTGACTTTACGTTTAATGTGATACTAACTTAATTCATTATATTTTTTATAACACCATCACAATTATGCCAAAACATATACACAGTGAAGTTTATGATAGTACGGTGTTCGTTCGTCTGTTTGTTTGTCTTAGAAATGATTGCAAACAATTTTTTTTAAAAATTGCAAATGAAATACATATATCTCTTATAGGTGCAAAATGTATTATACAAGATTGATAATGAAAATCAAAGTACCTTAAGTACTGAAAGGACTTTTTTCCAGTTATTCTTTTCTTTCACAGTAAATATGATATGTATGTTTTTTACACAGAAAAAAGCAAATTCTTACAGATTTAGAAGAACGGAAGACTTTTTTGTTGCCATGGCAACAAGAGTCTAGTTATTATTAAGTCTTCCGTTCACAACGGAAGACTTATAGTGATTGTATTGTTTCTTTTTATTATTAAGTCTTCCGTTCACAACGGAAGACTTATAGTGATTGTATTGTTTCTTTTTATTATTATTATTATTATTATTATTCCTCCCAAATTTTGTGAGCGCGATTACTCAGAGATGGTTGGATAGATTTTCACAATTTTTCACATGATAGTAGGCTGATATATGAAGTTTATATAAAATTCCGTTTTTTGAAAAATTCACTTCCGGTCCGAAGTTACGGCCGAATTTCCACTTTTTAAATGGACTTTTGTCCGGAATTTTTCTGGGAAACGGTTTGAGGTAAAGATGTGAAATTTACAGGAGTATTAGATCATGACATTCTCTTTGTTTCGAAGTTGTTTTCGTGTGTTTCCGGTACTTCCTGTCCGAACCGGAAGTGAACTTGTGTTTGGTCAATTTTCAACTTTTTTGTTTTTTAATATTTTTTCAAGATATTATTATGTATAACAGAGGTTATTCTACAAATATTAAATATATAATTTGTTTTGAAATCAGATTCCACATTTTGCAGATTTTCGGTACCCTCATTTTCCCTATTTACCTAGTGTGTAGACAATGGGCAAAGAAAGATAACTCTGACTTGTAAGTGAGAATAGAACTTTCGAGATAAAGGCGGAAATAGTATCGATGACGTAAGAGACATATACACTCTCCATATCAAAATATTTAGACGTTCCATATTCACTCTTCTAAATATAAGAGTACGTTGGTTACCACTTCCAATGCATGTATAGTTTAAAGTTGCCAGTGTAGTGTAAGTCTGTATTGACAGTTAATTTATTTACACATGAATATATCTAAAAAAAAAAATTAATATATATGCTAGGTACCTAATTCAAGTAAATATATTATAAGCACTGAGTATACATTTATAGTGATGGACAGGAATGCAGTTTTATTTATCTCGTATAGTAAGTTCAGAATACGATAGTTATAAGCCTTCTATAATGCAGACGATTTATTATTCTCTATGATTTGAATGCGAAATTATCCCGATTTCCGAGTTTTATTTTCGATATTAAAAAAAATATTACATACACTCAAAAAGGAATTGAGCGATAGAAAATTGTAATACAGTACTGTTTTAAAGCCTTTATAAATAAATTGATATCTGCCACTTAAAAGAAAGAAAATCAATCTGTAGATTAGATTTTGTTATTACATGTAAATTTGATAAAAAGTTAAATTATTTATGACACATGATCTATATTCTATATACCCAAGGAATTATAAAAGTTGTGAAAAGACGATTCTTGGGCATGGATTCTTGTGAAATACTCAAAGAG